CTGCTTTTCTTAGCTTTTATTAAAAACGTCAAAATTTTCTACGTTTACCCGCCATGCATGCACGACTTTTGAGCCAGCACCGTAGCCGATGGTTTTACCAGATTTATTAGTGTTTTTTTGTTTTTAAATCTTAAGTTAACTTTCACTGCATAGAGTTTTTTGCCAGGCACAATCCAATCCATCCATTCGAAAACGATGTGGACCTGGAGAAATTCGCGATGAAATATGATGCATCACTGTTTTTGGTTGGCTTTAATTCCAAGAAACATCCGAACAGTCTAATTTTTGGCCGTATGTATGATTACCATGTACTGGATATGGTTGAGCTACAGATCAAGAGCCTCGTTGAATCAAAACAGTTCAAAGTAAGTTGGCAAAAATTAATTTTTTCAAGCGATCTGAATAAGCTCGGTTTGCATCCCATCAGGCATTTGGCATAGCTAGAATACGCTATCCAGTACTGGAAGGCTTAGCTTAGTCAAGCCAGGCGTGTGAAGGCATCCTAGTAACATCACTAACATGGGATCCTCACACCAATTGTCCGGATGGTCCTAGTATTTCATTTTCTTATTTATTGATCTATTTGATCAGCTCTATATCACCAACGTTCGTTGTCACGCCATCGATGCAGCACTGGCAATTTCTCCATTCAACTCGTTGTTGCGCTTTCCGAGTGCATGTGGTACCGTACAAGGCGTACCATGGGGTCTGTCCACTTCACTGATGGCCTCTCCAGTGTTCGCTTGACCGTGCATGGGTACCATTCCATTATCCGCTTCGTCCATCTGTTATCTGTCATCCGTACCACATGAGCAGCGCGTACATTGCTTCGATAATGTCTTTCACGCCAGATTTCATTTCCTTATATATGTTTACTATGCACTTGTTGTTTGAATTTATCATTTATTAGTTGTTCAAGCATATAGCTTGTTTACTGTGCCCTTGATGGCAATAATAATACTGTTAGAGAGGAAAACAGTACTAGTATATTAAGAGTTCTGCAGCAGCTTCCTTCACTATCAGATTAGCAATTTTCGATGATAATTGGTACTCTGGGATGTGATTTTTATTTTCAGACGGCTCGTGTGCCAGTGGGTTGTAAGCCATGCATAATTTTGCAAGGTACGGAATTCGAGAGCAACGATACAATGAAACGAATTGGCAATCTAATGGTTGATTGGTTTCGTGGTGCAAAAGTCGAAAATATACGTTTGCAAGGATTGGAACTTGTGATTTCACTGACCGCTATCGAAGATAACATCCATTTCAGAGTGTACAGGTGAGGATTTTTAAAAAAAAAGTTAAATTTAGCAAGATCGAAGAGAACTCCTGCCAGATCTTCTTGTCTTGAGGCTTTTCTCGAATCAGTAAAGCTTAGCTGCATTTGTTGTTACTTCATAGTCTGCATCCCGATCTCTTCGGCCATCAACTTCCCCACGGACCACGATTTTGTGCTTTTTTTTTTTTTAATACACATGCCTCAATACTCCAAAAAATATTGCTTAGCGTACCCGTAACTTCCATTTGCTACTTGAAATTCTTGTCACATAACCAGCCCAGCTCTTCTTCTTGGTGTACATCCTCATTTACTTGTCTGTTTTACACAGGAACGTAACCGCAGCTCGTTGTTAGTTGCATTAAATCCTGCTGATACCCAGAATTTACCTTTTATTTAACTTCGTAGTAAATATTTGGTAAAAAATTGCTTTATTTTGACGTTTTCACAATATGGAAAGACACATTTTACAAGCTCCAGGACACAACTGAAGAAGTCAACAGGTACACTGCCACGAGTGGAATTGGTAGAAATTGGACCGCGCATTGATTTTTCGGTTCGACGAAATAAATTTGCAAGTGAAAGCCTATTCAGAACAGCTACGAAGCAGCCAAAACAACTTCTGGTATTGATTTCTCTTCCTTTCAGGGCTGGGGTGAGCAGCCGCCCATAAGCATTGAAATGCCCGAAATTCAACTTCATCCATCTCATAATAGGCTATAAAAACCCTGGAATGTGGGAAAAAAGCTTAGGATGAGTGCCTACGTTACTTGCAGAAAAATGAATTCAGAGAAGTTTTAAGTTGGTTTGGCTTCGAGGTGTTCATGAAAATTGCGATTTTTCAGGCAAAGAGACGGAAAAATCGATCAACCGATGTGTTTGGAACGGAACTGGGACGTGTGCATGTTGGCAAGCAAAATATTGATGGCATGCAAACGAAGAAATTGAAAGCCCTGCGTGGTCCAAAAAACAAAAAGAAATCTCAGGAGAGCTAATTTATGATCTGATTTCGTTTCTTTTTTTTTGTTGTTATGAAAAACCCGGTATTGTTATGAACTGCAAAAAAAGAAAAAGTATTTACAAAAGTTCATTAGCTTTCACAAAAACAGAATATTTAACAAAAGATGAACTGGCGTTCAAAGAAGGATGCGACTGGGACATCCATATTAAATAGTGCCAGGTGGCCGGCCGCGTCGTTATGAAGATTTGATCAAATAGTGGAATCGTACGAATGCTTTTCTGAGGTGTTCCAACTGGCTTGTTTGCAGCTGAAAGAAAAAACAATTAGCAACACACCACCATTACATTGGATAAATTTTGGACTAATTCAGCTAGCATATCTGGAACAGCTGTTAATCCGTATTTTAGTCTCTGTCACGCAGGCTGGGAACATCCTCATAAAATTTCAGTTTTCTAGCTTTTCTGGTTTCCGAGTTAGCGATTTTCCCACCAAAATTTCTATATACTATGTTGGCATTATGCATCTTACCTAAATTTCGCCCTTGAACTTGGAAAGAATGATTCATTACCTGTGGTGGATCGAGCGCTGTTCTACGTCTGTTTTCTTTCCCATAGATCACCGTATTCTCGGGCAATTCCTCCCTCAACAACGCTTTACAGTTGGTGCCAATTGAGCAACCACGCGTCACTATTGTGTGTTGACCAACGTGACTACGTATTCCAAATACATTGTTGTCGCCAATTTTCATTGCATGCACAACTGAATTTTGCGCGAAAATTCAACAAAACAACGCACATCATCAGAAGTTTAGATTTTTTTAGTCGCACTGCACTTCGCGAAAATTCTGTAAATCTTTTAAAAAAAGTTAAGCTCAGAAATGCTCCTTCGGGCAACCTCAAAAATGAGGTTCAAAAAACCACTGGTTTTGATAAAAACAAATAACCATCAGAAAAGATTCACGCAAAATCGTCGTTTAAAGAAACGAGATTTACTTCGGGCTCGAAGGAAGACCCAGTTTTTCTCGGAATAACTGGGTACCATTATAGTTAAAACCGAAAATTCGGCATTTTAAAAACTACTGCTGAAGGAATGTCTGAGAATTACAATTTTCTTGATTTCTATGACATTAAAAAGTATCAAGACGAGGAAACACTACCACAAAATAAAGAGGAAAACTATGCGGGGAATTAATGAAGAGGGAAATTATTTCGAATATGCAGGAAGTTACTTTGAAAAAGGAAATTTTCGGAAGTTTTAAACAAAACGTTCAAATTCACGAAACTCTGCACGACCCACTAAGAAATATTTTTAAAAATCCAAACATTTGTCTAAAGTAAAAAACACTTCAAACTAGTGCAAGCAATGGTTTTAAAATTAACAACCGAAAAATTTCGGGTTTTTTAAATTTTTGTGGATTGGCACTTGCAACACATCGTTTTTAAAAATTTTTCGGTTGTAAATTTTCAAAAATTTAAAAAACCCTAAAGTAAAAAACACTTTTAACTAGTCCAAGCAATGGTCTTAAAATTTACAACCGAAAAATTTCGGGTTTTTTAAATTTTTGAAAATTTCTTTGCAAGCCCCAAAAAAATTTACGCCGTACAAACAGGATTGGCACTTGCAACACATCGTTTTTAAAAATTCAGAAGAGTTAGTGAACGAAATTGTCCAGAAAAATAAAACGAGGAATTACCGCATCCAATTTCGAAGACATTATCGCGTCCAATTGTGAGCGTTTCACCGCTTTCACTTCTGTAGAAAAAAAGAGCTTCAGTGCTCACAAACACTGGTGTACATATATAAGGCAGTTTAATAAGGAAGACTTGTCTTCTGGACCGATGAAAAAAAATAAAAAAATGGGAATAAAAAGAATAAATTTATCAAAATTATTCCGAAATTAAAGACAAAGCAGTTCAATAAACGCAAAATTACGATTCAAAAATCAATAAATTGTTGAGAGAGAATCCAAAAACAGATAGGTAGATCAGTGGTAAGGCAGCACTTACAGATTTTCAATAACAGCGGTTTCTTCAATATTATTATTTTCACCAATAATAATCGGTCCACTGCTGGCTCGTATTACAGCGGTTGGATGAATGACAGTTCCTGGAAAAAGAGGGCCTACGACTCGGTATCCCATAGATATAAACTTCCAAAAAAAAAAAAGTAGACTATAACGACGATAATGCAGAAAAAAATGTCGAAATTTCAGCTTCATAAATATCGTAGATCTGAAAATCGAAATTCTTCCAAACAGGCGCTACCACGTGTAGCCCCATAGTTCGTCGGTTCATGGCAAAATTAAAAATTTCTCCTCAACAACAAGTGTGGTATTCCATGTTTCACTGCTATATGAAAATGCATCATCTGGGAGGTGCAACAATCGCAAGGTTTCTTGGTTTATGACCAGGGTCGGTTATCCCCCAAAATGGGAGAAGTAAAGGCGAAACCATCATCTTTACACATATAACAGTGCTAATATAACATAGTAGTACTGGAAAAAGTCGCTTTTATAGCCAATGTTATGCCAATTTCTCATAACATGGTGAATGGCCGCTCTGAGAAAAATGCCCAAATTTTTATCCATTTGTACTGTTCATTTTAAGTAGTTATAATTGTTCACATTCTCTCAACAGACAAATTCTCAAGTTTCTTGTGCATCTGGGAGAAAGGTAAAAACAAAATTCATCGGACACACTCGGACACACACACACACACACACACGCACACATACACACACAACCCCGTAACAATATACGTTTTGTACTGCTGTTGCATAGCATAAAACATAAAAAATAAAAAGAAACCTGAGCCAATCGTGATTTCGCCTTCCAAAATGGCTTCCTTGCATACAACAGCATCCGGCGCAATTGTAAATCTGCAATTCTATGGATAATCGCCTGAATCATGATAAATCAAAGTTTTTCGGGATACTTTTATTACAGATAACACCATGATCGCCCCCGGCTATCGGTATGGAACTTCGGCGCAACCGAGAGATGCAGCAAACGACAAATTTATTTGTTTTCAAAAGAAAAAACTTACTTATTTTCAACGGCCATCTGCTATTATCCCTTGTTGGATACTCTTGGAATGCTGAAAAAATCACCACTGTCATGCACCGAAAAAATCCCGCAAAATGCTAAAAAAATTCGAAATTCGTTCAAATTTTATTTGAAGTTGCCAGTTTTCTTCCAAAAAATCGGACATTGTCACAGGGCATACAGTGCTTCGAGAAGAAAAAAAACTTCCTAGCAAAATCCCGTGCTGCCACCCGATAACAGAAAAGGTATTTGCTGTCCAACGTACAAAATCCCGTGCTGCCACCTGATAACAGAAAAGGTATTTGCTGTCCAACGTACAAAATCCCGTGCTGCCACCCGATAACAGAAAAGGTGTTTGTTGTCCAAGCGGTTATGCGCATGCACCGGGCACGGGCCAAGGTTCCGGTAAATAGTGCCCGGGCCGGGCCCGCGTCAATGATGTTCGGGAGCGTCAACATTCCGGTTGTTTTTGTAAATTTTGTCATACTCCTCGCATTTGAGGGCATTGATGTGACATCACTAACATGGGTTTTCCACACCGGTTGCCCTGAGTGTTGTTGATTTTCTTGGTTTTGTTTTTTTTATAGTTTTGATTTTTTTTTTTTTAAATTTGAGGTTTTTCGGATTTTTTTTTAACCTTTCTTCCCTCGTATCTTTTGTAATTCACAAAATTTCTGTCTTATTTTGGTGATATTCTGTGTTTTATGATTATGGACCCCGCTGGCTTCTTTTAGTTCGAATTTTCTTTTGATTTGTCCTATATTTTGAATTTTCCTGCACAGCCTTCCTTCACCCCGTTTTTATGCGTTTTTGCATATATGCAAATTGCAAAAACGCATATTGGGAAGAGGCTGTGTGT